GTGCTACTACTGCTGCTGCTGCTGCTGCTGCTGCTGCTGCTGCTGCTGCTGCTGATGCTGCTCCTGCTCCTGCTCCTGCTCCTGCTCCTGCTCCTGCTCCTGCTCCTGCTCCTGCTCCTGCTCCTACTCCTGCTCCTGCTCCTGCTCCTGCTCCTGCTCCTGCTCCTGCTCCTGCTCCTGCCCTCCTACTGCTACTGCTACTGAGTCGCTATATACGGTCCTAGTTTCTTCGCGCAGGTGTGTGGCACCAGCTTGAGGACCAGGCCACTATACCAAGCGACCAAGATCGACGGTTAAGTCGAACGGACTGCATTTTCAATTTTGTCCTCAATGTGCTACGCTGCGGCTGCGGTCGCTACATCCCCACCCGCGGACTCAAGTGGTGGATGATTACAGAAGGACACGGAAAGAGAAAGGCGAGAGCGAATGGGGTATGGCAAAGCAATCGTGTATTGTCATGGCTGGATTCGCTGCTCTCAGCCAAGACAAGTTGGTCGCCGAATTCTACGATGGACAAGAACCCTGTTCACTGCTTTGCCCAACATCTCAACGACTTGTGCGTTGAGGGTATGCATAACCGTCTGGTCCCCACTAGACGAAGAAAACTGGTGGAATCAGTACTTTCTAGGGAAGGAAGCCACCAGAAGCGGAACATGACCCCAATTTGCAGGTGAATGAGATGCTACATATCATGTGCACACTTTGCTGACACGCAGAGACCGCGGCAACAGGGTGTGAATTCCGCTGCCTTTGTCGATGCATGCGTCCTGGAAAGGGAATCATAGCTGAATAGCAACATCGAGGAGAACGTCGCTGATGTCAAATTGGACACGAACTACCCAGGGGGGGAGGTCGGTCGCCGCAAAATTGCACAACCTGCGGCCGACTCAGGCTGTCAGGTGATCCTCGAACTTCCTCCTGAACCACCGGATACGGAAACAAAACAGTATTCCGAGCTGACGGGCATCTCCTTGCGGAAAAGTAAATCTGGAAAACCGGATGAGATCAAATACTGCCAGGTGGGCAAATACCGGGCTCGTTCCTCAGTCGTCCGACCCAATCAGATCTCGAGGAGAATCCTTTAAAGCCCTGATGTTCTGCGAGAAGTCGGGGAGGCTGGTGTCGATGCCTTCCCTGAAATCAAGGGGCGAAGGACAGCTGTCGAAATCTGCAGCAACAACCAGAAACCGATTCGTGAAGGATCCAGAATGCTTGAACACGGCGCCCGCGTTCGGCACGATCATTCATCCAAAGGGCTTCCCAAGCTCGAGGAAGACGTGCTGATCAAATCAATCCAGAGATTGAACGTTTCTCGATGTTCCACGTGTCGTTTGCACGTAAAGATGCTGGAACTGATCACAGCACCAATCAACTAGGGGAGCGTGAGCGGTCATTGGTTGGTCCCGGTAACTGGTCGGTCCCACAAAGTGTTCCGAAACCCCTTAAATCTTCCAAGCGCCTGCCGAAGAAGTGTGGGATTTACTGTTTGTCTACTTCGTATTGGACATTCATGCCCGTTTGTCGTGGCCGAATTTGCATGCACTCACTCAGGGTCGCAAGGCTGTGAAGGTCTTTGATGACTATGTCCGCAGTTTGTTCCGTTCAATTCACCTGCCAAGGTAGAGAGATTCATCACTGACCCCGAGGACCCTGCATGGAATAGTGTTACTTTGAGTACAATGAGCACCAGATTTACTATTACTCACGCTAACGTAACAACTATTACCACTCTTAATTCTTAATTCTGTTGGCACTTCTACGGCAGTGCGAACTGTCTATCTGTGGGAGCATCATGTCACTGTCTGTTCGCATGGAGCGTTCAAGCTTACATGTACCTGTACATAACCTACGTAACCTACTTGTACTATGTATTGGTATGCACAAAATGCCGAACCTTCTGTATGCACGATGAGGTGCAACATGACACTTCCTTCCTGGTCGCAAGTGCAGCTCGGTCTAGTGCGGAGAGCCTTGAGCGTCGTGGGAGACACCAAACCTGAAGCTCAAAAGCAAGACAAACAAAAAAAACACCTTCGATGTGCTGCCGATGCTTGGCAACCGACCATCCACGAGAGTTCTGTCACCAGCAGTCTCAACGGTGTCAATTCCTTTCTCGAAGTCTTTGTACCTGCTCAGAGCTACATACAACTGCTTTCTCGTGCGGCACAGCAAGAACATCACTCCTGCCTTTTCAACTCTATGCCTTCCGAAACCAATGCAGCGGAGGTCACGAGTTCACGAGATTAGCTGTAGCTTGCACTGCAAGCAAGGAGACCACCAGCGCGAACACGGTCTGCAGCCAAGCAATATGGGACAAGACAAGCAATGACGATTGAAAATAAATGCAGCAAACATAGCTGGCACAGGAGCGGCGTGCCGTGTAGCCCGGAAGCGCTATGTCGTGAATGCATCGAAGCGCTGCAAGAAGGACAAGGTAGGGCCCAATGATCCCAGCAAAACTCCAAGGCCTGCGCGCAGAAAACAGCCGCAAGCAAGCAAGTCCACAACAGGTTTCACTGAAGTACCTACCCTCAATCTTATGCGCAAAAAAGCATTGACATGCAATCTGCCTCAAGGCTGTAATCAAGCCTTGCAGGAACGATGGACGCCCGGGCATGTCCTGCCAGTTTGGTTCAGCTGCTGTATGTCGTGCCAGAATGACAACATGAAGTGGCTTTGACTGGTTGAAACGTCAACCGATTTATTCTTGGACATGCTCCTTCGTAACCTCAAGCTTCTATTGTCTGACGTACTGGAGTCTTTATCACGAGAAACGTCTTTTGCGCACGGAAAGTACCAACCCGAGCACAGGATCCAACTTGCCGGCACTGCATTGCCGAACTGAGCCTGCAAAGATCACGTCTGTGGTGCAGATCTAACAGCATTCTGTTTTGTGATTCAGTGAAGTCTGTCTGTCAGACTTGTAGGGCCCGGCAGCACAGTCTCACCCTGCTAGTCGACACCTCCTGACCCGTTCAGACAAACAGACCTCCAACCTTGCAGAGGTGCGGTTGAAACGAACCTTTGACGGGGGCCGTAGACAAACTTGTCTCGCCAGCAATACCTTGAGGAAATCAAAGGTGGGCCAACATGCCGTCAGTCGAGCCATGATGCAGTGGCCGCTCCTGTGCTTCGTACTTCGCCATCTGCTGAAAGATTGTCAGCGCACCAACAATAGACACGTTCTTCAGAATGTGAACTGTCCGGTTTCGCTTCTCGGCGGAGCAGTTCACGTCCCAGAACGGAACTGGATCCAGGTTCCAGTACAACACTCCCTGACGATTTATCCACCACGTCCACGTAATCGTGCCCATGAAAACTAACATCATCGATGTTCCTGCTCAAACGGTCGTCATGTAGTTGTAGACTCGTCGGTGCAGGGTGATGAGACGTTAGACAATACAAACAATCACGAAGCTGACCCAGAAAAATACCCTAGCTCTCCATGGTTGAACAATGCTATAAGACCAACCCTAGTTATCGTTTCAATTGAAGATTGGCACGCGCCTTTGGTAAGAGCCGTCCGGCCGGCAGTGTCGAAACCAGATATCAGCACGAAGACCGCACCGAAAAGTCCAAAGATAATGTGGACAAGATGCAAACTAACCGCAAACTCCTTGGCTGAGCGACGGTTCTCAATCCATCCGCCCCCGAAAAAGAGCCTATTGATTGCCACTGCTTGCTACAATCCGAACAGGGCTCCACCCTACCACCCCGATTCCCGAAGACACGGCTTATCGGGCACCCTGCTGTCAGTCATGTCTCCCTTGGAAGCGGAGCCACCGCAGGGGAGACCATGTGATCCACTTCAAACTCAAAGTGGATGGCATGCATGATGTTTTCGGTCACGAAAATTCCCACAAAGCCAAGCCTGGCCAAAAAATCCTGTGCCAACAGGAATGCCACGTTCTCTGGACTAGCAGAAACGAAACAAAGACCCTTGCAGAGCTGTGGTCTGACTGAAACCGCAGAAGTCCTTGATACTTCTGTTTCTTAGCAATGATGCCAGGTGAACGGCTGGAACATCGATCGGCTTTTCAGTCACATCCTTGCAAATTTACGCCGATGTCAGCATGCCGTCATCAACATTTAACGGAAGCTTAGAAGAACCAGGAAATTTGGAAGAGCAGAAAACATATGCATATCTCGTGCGGAAGTGATGTTCTGGCTCCTCGGCTGCATGCACTGGCGAAGGCAAAGGCGTAGCCGCCCGCTGCTTCGCGCCAGTCCGTTGGCGCATCGAGCAAAATAGGATGCTGCGTGAATGACTCGAAATGCTTGCTTAAAACCAAACAAGATGAAGAGTTGGTGACGGCAGAGATGCCACCTGTCAACTGAAACAAGTACAACTGGTTCCCGCTGGCCCAGGTTGTCGCTGTCGTAACAAAGCACTCCTTTCTCAACATGCGTGCATGAAACAACTTGTTCGGGCTGTCTCCAATGGTTCTAACCTCACTGAGCTCAATGCTTTTGATCCGAAATGATTTGCATGCAAGCTTGTTCGCACAACATTGCACTGTCATCCATACCACAGCGTTTCCAGAAGCCATGTAAGAGACTCGAGAGCTTTTCAATATCGCGACAAGTGTGAGGCAGCGGCTGTCACTGTCAAGCCAGGCATCATCATCACGCTTTGGTTTCGCACAGCAGCCACTCAGCATGTTCCGACAATGCTGCTGGATTTTGCTTGGAGCTGCAGGAGGGGTGCTGTTGGGAGAAACATGCACACGTTTCCAAGCACGGTTCAGCTCAACGCAATCTTGCACAAACAGCACACAAGGAAAACCAAGACTTCAAAATGCCTCAAACAGAGTCTTGAAATATGACCCTCATGCAGCTAGAGTTCACCGAAAACATCTTGACCGCAGCAGCGCGCATCCAAGTCGCGCCGGAGAGTCGAAATTAAGCAAACACACACAGAAAAATCAGGACAATTTTAGAAAAATCTGCGGATAAGGTCGAAAGAATTAGACAAACAGAGTAACAGCAAAGCGCAGAGAGGTCGAACTCATAGTTGTAGAGTGAAGTTCGAATCTGGCTGCAAACAATCAACTCTAAAAGTGGCAACTGTCACACGTTTTGGACTGTAGAAGAAGCCAATTTCCTAAGTTCGACACAATCGCATCGAAAAGTGGCGTGAAAACAAAGAAAGCAATGCTTTGCCAAGCATGTTGCTGTGTGTTTCTGGACAAGAGCCAACATATTGCGGAGTATGTGTTATTGATACCATCTAAAAACGTTAAAAACCTAGAAAGCCTTAGGTCTTTCAGGTCTGCAAGCAAACACGTCCAAGCACTGCTGCAAGCAAGGCAAGCCCACAAAACACTCGGACAGTTCACACTTTTAGCACGCACAGCTCACTGCTGGTCCACGTGTCTTGAGCCAAACAAGACAGTAGTCGCTTC